GGAACACGTTGACAACGGTGGAGGCAAGTGGTCACTCTGGAGAAGGAGAGGATGCCAGGAGGGGGGAAAAGGGTCCTGCAGAAAACCCTATTCGCAGCAGTACTGTAAACCAGAGACTAAAAGGGAAAAATGAGTGTCTGCCAGAGAGGCAGGCTGGGGGTGAGCGGGAAGGAAACGGGGTCACTGGTGGAGGGCTTGGTATCGGAACACTGTATGGCTGAAACTCAATCATGAATAACCTTGTAAATCACAGTGCCTTGGTAAAAGTAAAAATAATCAATAAGTAAAATCCAGGAAGGGCAGAGTGAGCACCGTTCGCGGCTAGAAGTAGAATCTGAATTCACATTTTTTTATTTGTTTGTTTTAAGCCAGACTGGAGCGATAGCACAGTGGGTAGGGCGTTTGCCTTGCACACGGCTGACCCGGGTTTGATTCCTCCATCCCTCTTGGAGAGCCCGGCAAGCTACCGAGAGTATCCCACCCGCACGGCAGAGTCTGTCAAGCTCCCCGTGGCATATTCGATATGCCAAAAACAGTAACAAGTCTCTCAATGGAGCCGTTACTGGTGCCCACTCCAGCAAATCGATGAACAAGGGGAGGACAGTGCTACAGTGCTTGTTTTGAGCCACACCTGGTGGTGCTCAGAGCTTACTTCTGGTTCTGTAGTTAGGAATCACTTCTGATGGGCCTGGGTTAGTCCAGAGACTCAGTGATGGGAGTGAGTCCATGTTTCTGCGCTGAAAGATCACCATGCTGTGTGGTTGCCATGAAGGAGCTCCGGCTGGCACAGTCGGGTACCAAATTCCTTAGGGGCAGCCATCCAGGGCTCAGCCAGCCTTCCTTGGCAAGTGACTGCCGGGCACAGACGCACCTCGAAGGGCTGTGGTCACCCTCATGGGCAGCACGGAGACCATCAGAGCTGCCTGGGGTGGGAGCACCCCAACTCTGAGGGCATGTAGGCAAACCCAGGATGCCTGGCACGAGAGGTGCCCAAACAACATCAAAGTTTTCTGCAGATCCTGGGGACCTCATGGTTGGAAGCAAACAGCTCCTGTGGAGAGCTGTGTGAGTAGCAACAGGTCCCCTAGGGAAGCCGGGGAGGGTAGGAGCACCTCTCCTTCCTCCCCCAGGCAGGACATACCCACCACCATCCCCCCAAAACCAGTCTACTTCCCCCCTCCCCGCTTAGGACCAACCTTCTGATGGTTCTGAATTTGCAGTTTCCGCTTGGGACCTTGCCCGCCTTTTCTGATTGACACTGGAGAGGTCCAGAGTGGACAGCAGCTGCCTTCCTGGATGTGATTCCCAGCCCAGAGAGCTGCCTGCCAGATGTCCAGGGTGCATGCAGGCTCCCTCCAGTCTGACCCACTGACCCGAGACTCCCAGAAACCTCTCAGAGAAAACCCAAAGGCAGCCTGGCATTGCCCGCCCTGCTACCCCCTCCTGCCACCATGGTCCTCTGCTCACAGGAGTCAGGCCCGGGCTGGATGCTGCCACCTGGCTCTGTCTGTGCATGGGAACTCAAGTCAATGGTGCATAGCACCACTGAGGTTCTGGTTTGGTCCAGTCCAGTCCTGGCTGAGGGCCTCATCTCGGCCCCAGTCACATGGTCTGACCATGTGCTCCTGCTCATCCCACTGCTTGTGCTCAGGGCGAGGCGCTGGGAGTTGAGCAGGAAAAGCAGAGCAGAGTCGCCCATGACACCGTCCTAGACCAGCCCTGGGCTCTTCCCCTGCAGAGATCAGAGGCACGAAGAAGATTCTGTTCGGTGCTGCAGACTGAGCCACCCAGCTTCCCAAGCCATCCATCCTCCCAGACCCGAGGCACCTGTAGCAGCCTCACCAGAGGCCTGGGCATGAGGTGTGGCGTTTCCCCTCAGCGTCATGGTCTTTGTGTTTAAAATGGGAACCACATGGGGCTGGAGCACAGTGGGTAGGGTGTTTGCCTTGCAGGCAGCAGGCAGACCCAGGTTCGATTCCCAGCATCGCATGTGGTCCCCTGAGCACCATCAGGGGTAATTCCTGAGTGCAGAACCAGGAGTAACCCCTGTGCCCCTATGCAGCACCAAGTACATGACCCAAAAAGCAAAAAAAAAAAAAAAAAAAAAAAAAAGGAACCACAGAACAGACCTGCCTGGAGGGATGGAGCCGGGGTCAAAGCAGAAAGGGCGCTGGCATCTATACCAACCTTCAGAGGGGAGCAAAAGGTGGGCATCGGGGTGTACTATCTGGAGTGATGGTACAGTGGGTAGGGCGTTTGCCTTGCACGCAGCTGACCCAGGTTCAATTCTCAACATCCCATATGGTCCCCAGAGCACCGCCACTTGGAGTAATTCCCAAGTGCAAAGCCAGGAATAATCCCTGTGCATCGGCCAGGTGTGTCCCCAAAAGCCAAAAAGCCAAAAAAAAAAAAGGTGGGCATCATCTGAGGGGCAGGAATGGGGCGGGGCTTGGGGCTTGACCCTTGCGCCCCCATGCAGCACCTGCTGTTGAAGTCCCCACCCTCCCCTGAAGATCCAGTTTCCTAATCATCTAGCCCTACCTCCCCATCCCCCCTATCTTCCCGGCCCAGATGTCTGCCGCCACCGCTGTTTACCGTGCTTATGGGCAGAGGGAACGAGCGGACACGCGGCAGAAATAATGACCGAATGACGACTATCCAGGCCATCAAACCGTTGAGAGTGGCTCGGTCGTCCATGGGTGGGCAGTGGCTCAGTCCCCCATGCCTTCCAGGATGAAGCGGTTCTCTGCCATCACTGCCCCTGGCTCCCAGAAGGAAGCTCTGGCTCTCCATCATCACTGGCCCTGCCAAGGATTCTCTGTGTGGGTTACTCAGGCCACACACCAACGTTCTGCGATGAGAACATTTACAGCCAGGAGATCCGGTCTCCAAGCCGAGTCCCTGCGAGGCCGGGAGGTATCAGGCAGGGAATCTTACCAACCCATCCTGATTCCTCAGCCTCACGGGTGATGAAAGGACTCTGTCTTCCAGAAGCACTTATTTAGCACAGGCTGTGTCCAGTCTGTGTGTCATCCCTTTCACTGTCCCCTTTACAGTTATATAAACTGTCACCAAGACCAGCCCCCGAGGCCAGCACTCGCAGGGACAGTCTCTATCCAGGAACTCTAGGGAGCAGCTGTCTCTGGGACCACCCAGAGACCTCTGACGCCCACCGGGTGAGCCAGCTCTCCACTCTCCGCCCAATGGCAGGGGTCCCTACTGCAGTCCAGGCCCGCCTCGTCCTGAAATCCCTCCCTCCCTCTCACCTTCTCACCCAAGCTACCCCCCTACTCCGCCCCTCTGTCTCCCGACCCGCCCGGAACTGTTGTCCAGGTGGGAGAGCGGGCCAGGCGGCTGCCGCTCGCTCCTTCTGCCCAGGCGCAGCGGCCGCGCCTCCCGGTGGCTGGGAGTTCGCTTGGGACGAAACGCTTGTGCAGGAACTTGAGACGCAGAGGGGCCCCGGCGCCGGCGTTTTGCCGATCCGAGAATTGCGCAGTCCTGGGGAAGCCACACAGCTCTGGACACCTTGGGGCGTCGCATTGAGCTGGTTCCCCCACTTCTCAGTGACCGCGACGCACCGCCGGCGCCTACACGTGAAGGCGAGCGAGGGCACTGATGATAACAAGGCAGGGGACGCGCCTGCCCGGCCCCCTGCGGGTCCCGCGCGCGCTTAGGCCCTCGGTGCATTGGGCAGAGGTTGCTCGGGCCCGCGAACCGAGACTCCCTCCTGCGCGCATCTTCCGGAGACTTTGGGACCTCGGGTACCGCTCTCCGCGGGCTTAGGACCCGGGTTCCCCCGCCGCCGCCTGCCGAAGCCGCACTTTAAGGTGCCGCTGTCCCGCGACCGCCCCTCTACTCACCCCGGCCCCGCGCTGTGCCAGCGACCCCTGAACACAACAGTTTGGACCCATCACCCTGTTTGGTTCCCCCCACCCCCCTCCGCTGCCGGCCTTCCCGATGTGGACTGCGCCCCGACTTAGTCCGCACCCCGATGCCACCCGTCCGGCGGCTTTCCCCTTCGAAGGTGGGCCGAAGCTCGTTCGGTCCAGATGAATTCGGAAGGCAGTCGCGCGCGGCGGGCCCGGCCTCACCCGCGACGGCCTTCGGACCCCGCGCGCTCCTTTGAGGCCGAGGCACCCGCCGAAGCGCACGTCCCGCGCGCGCAAACCTGGGCTTTGCGACCGTCGGTCCAAGTCCATCGGTCCTGCTGGCGCTGGCCCTCTCTTGTATAGGGCTCCTTCCTTCTGCTCTGAGCCCCTGCTCCGACCTGGGGGAGGGGGAGGGCAGGAGGAGAGAACGGTGGCCGGGTGGCAGGACTCTGGGAGCCGGGGATCCAACTCGCCGCCCTTCTGGCCTCTGTGCGCCCTAAGTGGCCTCTCGGTGCGCGGCGGCCACGGGGTCGCGGCGCCGACGGGCGGGTCCACCCCTCGCGAGGAGGCCCCACCTCTGGCGCCCCCCCACCCCCTTCCCCCTCCCCCGCATGTACGAAATCGGAGCAGGGAGGGGGCGGGTGCTTCTCCGCGGGGAAGTGGGGGAGACGTTGGGCGGGCACGCTCGACACCCCGCGCCTCCAAATCCAGAGGGGGTGGGGAGGCGCGGTTAGGTAGGGCGCAGCGGGGGGTCAGAGGAGGGGGGCTGCCCAGCCCTGGGAAAGGGAGGGTGGGGGTCCCCCCCGCTGGCTTCTGGAGCCTCAGGTCGGTGGACATTCACTTGGCGAGAAACAGGGAGCCAAGCGCTCGGGCTGGGCGGCGCGGGGCGGGGTGGGGGGGACGGGACGGCGCGGGCTGGAGTGGGGGGCGAGGCGCTTGCACGGGAGCTTTCAGCAGGGGGCGCTGCGCCCGGCGCTGGGCGGGGGTGGGGTGGGAGAGGAGGGAGGGGGGGCCCCCGGCTGGCTGCGCACACTTCCCCCATTATTAAACACTATGTTCAAAAGGCGCCGGGGGACTTCCCGGAGCCACGGAGCCCGCGCCGCCCGCCCGCCCGCCCGGCCCACGGAGCCCATGGACCTGAGCGCGGCCGCCGCGCTGTGCCTCTGGCTCCTGAGCGCCTGCCGCCCCCGCGACGGGCTCGAAGCGGCCGCGGTGGGGCGAGCGGCGGGGGCAGGGCCGGCCGGGAGTCCGGGGGGCGGCGGCGGCGGCGGTGCTGGCGGGGGCGGCCGGACCCTCGCCCCCGCGGCGGGCGTCTCGGCTGTCCCGGCTGCCGCGACTCCCGGGGTCCGCGCCGCGCGCCCCGCCGCGGGCTCGGGCTTCAGGAACGGCTCGGTGGTGCCGCACCAGTTCATGCTGTCGCTTTACCGGAGCCTGGCCGGGAGGGCTCGGGCCGGGCCGGCCGCCGCTGCCGCTGCCGCCTCCACCACCTCGGGCTCCGGCCGCCACGGAGTCCGCGCGGACACCATCACCGGCTTCGCAGACCTGGCGACCCAAGGTACTCACGCCGCCGCGGCCGCGCCCGTCCAGCCGGGCAGTTCCCTGGCGGAGGCTCCATCCCACTCGGGGTTGAGGAGGGGGCGCGATCTCCCCCACCCCCCCCACTTCAGCCGTTAGCTGGGAGCGTCGCTGCCGCCCAGGCCCACGCACCGGGAACCCGCCGCGTCCGCGTTGTGGCGGGAGCCGGGCGGGCCCCCTCGACGAGATCCCGAGAAGTCAAGAAAGAAGGGGAGAGGGTGGAGGGTTCCAACAAGAAGGACTGCGCAGCGTTGGAGGGGTGGTGGCGGCTACGATTGCTGGGCACCCCCCCCCTAGTTTCGGGGACCGAACACATCCTGGGTGCTGGAGGGGAGCTCAGGGGGGCTGGAGGTAGAGGCAGGCCCCGAGGAGAGCGCACGGCCTGGGAGAGGGTGCCTGCCCCTGCAGGCTGCGTCTGGATGTAGCCAGGGGTACCCTGGTGCTGGTTCTCCCTACCCCCACCCCCCCTGGGAGAGCTGGAGGGGGTGCGTGTGTGTGTGTGTGTGTGTGTGTGTGTGTGTGGGGCGGGACAGGGCTGGAGGGAGGAGAGTGCGGCCGGCCCGCAGCCTCGTGCAGGAATGCAGCTCCCGCACCCGCGCCCGCGCCCCACCTGGCTCCGCCCTGGGCCCTCGGAAGGTAGGACGTGGGTGAGGTCGGGGTGGTTGCAGTGTCATCTGGATTTTATTAATCTCTATTGAAGTCATTAAAGCAGACAGATAGGGAAAAATTTTTTTAAACTAATTTCAGACGGAAATGCAAGTAATTTCGGTCTTAATTCTATCCAGCCAGAGACCCGACCGACCGACGTGGGAGATGGGAGGGAAAGGAGAGCCACTGGGGACTCGCATCGTCTAGGGGATGCAGGGGATGGGCCTGTCCAGGGAATGCTGGCAGGGGTGGGAGTGGATCAGCCACCAGCATCCAGGGTACCTCCCACAGTTTTCTTCAAGTGCTCTCAAGTCCTCTGGGACGGCTTTGCATCAGCATGGGAGGACCAGCATCCGCCTAGTCCCTTAGCTGGCTGCACCCTGAAACTGGTGTCCTGGTGTCCAGGCCAGACCCCAGCCCAGTCCCTACCGGAGCCCCAGGCTGGCAGGGAGGCCAGGGATGCAGAGACTCACTATCTCCGGCTTTCATGGCCAGCTAGTCCTGCCTTACTTGGCGTCACAGAATCCTCACGCTCTGGGCCTCGCCTTCCTCCCTCTGCAGGGTGGAGGCTGGGGAGGCTACTCAGAGAAGCAGGGAGGGTCCCCTGGAACTGTGGCAAAATGCTCCCTCCGGAGAGACCCCAGAGAAGTAGCAGCAGGGGACCCAGGACACCCCCAGGAAAGTCTGCCTCCTTCTGCGTCTCCCTTCCCTGGGCCTCGGCTGCTGGCAGCCCGCAGCACCCAGATTCGGGGGAAGGAAGTGGAGGGCTGGTTCTCCCGGGCTGGTGAGCAAATCTTCCATGGTGCGGGGAGGCTGCAGTCTCTATGAATTTGGGGCAAAACGAAACCATATGACGCTCTTCAAAGAGCGCTCCTTATCTGCTGCTTGGTGGAATTTCAACACCCCCCCGCCCCCCCAGCTGCAAAAGAAAAAAAAATAATGTGCGCACCAGTAGAATGGACTCCCCATTACCGCGGAGACAGTCTTAAGGACCGGGAAGGATAGTAAGTCTAGGAGGGGGGTGTGGGTCTGGCAGGGACCCTGCACTAGCCCCAAATCCCTCAGACTTTGTGAGAGGGGTCCCCTGCACTCCTGGGAGGTTTGCCGAGACACTGTGAGAATACCAGGCATGGCCCACCCAGGGATTCCCACGGGCACCAGCACGCAGCTCCCAAAGCTAGGAGCCCTAGGCAGATCCGGCTCGGAGCCTCAGGTCCCCGGTGGCTCAGCGAGGAGGCTGGTCGCTCACGGAAACTTTGCAGCAGCCCGTCTTCGCGCCTTCGTGTCCCGTTTCCCTCTCCCTCCCCCTTTGAGGCGGGCTGGAGGAGTAGCGGACTTGGTGGTAGTGATGGGGGCACAAAAAGTTTACTCCCACCTGAGACTGCGTTTCTCCTGGGGGTCAGCAGCAGACCCTCTCTTCTCAGCCCAGTCGCGCAACGTCCTGGAAGAGGCGCACGCGCTCTCCGGGCCTTCTGTCTGCCACGGGTCCGCAGGTCCGGCCTCAGATCTAGGCCCCTGCAAACCCAAGGTTCTGGGGAGGTGCAGGGCAAAACTACCCAACTGCGGAGGGGGAGGGAGGGCTCAAGGGTCTGGGGCAGGAGAGAGCTCCAGGCCGGCCGCGCGGCTCAGGTGGCTGTGTCTGGGTGTTGATGAACCAACCCGAAGTCGGGGCCCAACTCGGTCTCTGGCTCAGGCTGGCACGCTCAGACTGGGGCTTGGTTGGTGGGCGCAGACACCACCGGGACTCCGGCGGGTCTTAGCCATCCGCGCGTCGCGTGGTGTCGCGTCGTGTGGTGTGTATGTGTTGGACCCTTCTGCAAATTCGGAAGTCCTGGGGTGGGGTGGGGGGCTTGGTGTTGCAGGCCTCATTCTCACGGCGCTCCTTCCCCCCCCCCCCCCCCGCCCTGCAGAAGAATCCGCTGCGGAGACCGGCCAGAGCTTTTTGTTCGACGTGTCCAGCCTTCCGGAGGCCGACGAAGTGGTGGCCGCCGAGCTGCGCGTGCTGCGCCGCGAGGGTCGCGGGGAGCCGGGCCCCGGGAGCGCCCCTCCGCCGCCGCCGCTGCTGCTGCTGTCCACGTGCCCGGGCGCCGCCCGCGCGCCGCGCCTGCTGCACTCGCGCGCGGCCGACCCGCACGCGGGCGAGCGTTGGGAGGTGTTCGACGTGGCGGACGCCGTGCGGCATCACCGCCGGGAGCCGCGCGCCGCCGCTGCGCTCTGCCTGCGGCTGCGTGCCGTGGCCGGGCCGGCGCGGGACCCGGTGGCCCTGCGGCGCCTGGGCTTCGGCAGCTCGCGCGGCCGCGCCGACGACGGCAGGGTGGAGGCGGCCGAGGAGCGCGCGCTGCTCGTGGTGTCCTCCCGCACGCAGAGAAAGGAGAGCCTGTTCCGGGAGATCCGCGCCCAGGCCCGCGCGCTCGGGACGGCGCTGGCCGCCGACCCGCCGCCGGACCCGGGCCCCGGGCTCAGGTCGCCGCCGCCGCCCCCGCCCCCGACGACGACGGTGGCTCTCGGTGGCCGCCGGCGGCGGCGGACGGCGCTGAGCGGGGCGCGGGCGGCGCAGGGCAGCGGCGGGGGCGCGGGCCGGGCCCACGGACGCCGCGGCCGGAGCCGCTGCAGCCGCAAGCCGCTGCACGTGGACTTCAAGGAGCTGGGCTGGGACGACTGGATCATCGCGCCGCTGGACTACGAGGCGTACCACTGCGAGGGCGTCTGTGACTTTCCGCTGCGCTCGCACCTGGAGCCCACCAACCACGCCATCATCCAGACGCTGCTCAACTCCATGGCGCCCGACGCGGCGCCCGCCTCCTGCTGCGTGCCCGCGCGCCTCAGCCCCATCAGCATCCTCTACATCGACGCCGCCAACAACGTGGTCTACAAGCAGTACGAGGACATGGTCGTGGAGGCGTGCGGCTGCAGGTAGCGTGGGGGGAGGGGGCCGCGCCTGGCCAGGGAGGGGACGGCCGCGCCGCCCAGGACGCCCCGTGGAAGAGCAGCAGCCGCGCGCGCGCGCACCTGCGCGCCCGCCGCCGCCGGACCAGTCGCGGAACCCGGGTCCGCCACCGCGGAACGTCAGCCTCGGGGGCCCCCCGATCCAGAGGAGGGGGAGGGCGCATTCACACTCATACCCACACTCCACACTCACTCCTGCACACTTTTCCTTTGGACGGCTTTGGACGGCGGCGGAAGGGCCCTGGAAAGAGAGGACCCACCGCTGCTCCTTGGGGGAGAGGATGGTCTTAATGGGAATGTGAAGGCTGCGTGCGGTGGACTCAGAATCGGGTAGAAACGGGTTAGGGGGCTGGGGACTCCAGGATGGGTGAACTGGAAGGGTTGAGCGTGGGGTGGCCTGCTGGGTGACCCTGGCACCAGAGAAGGTCAGCCTGGAAGGCTTTTCCTGAAGCTTTCCTGATGGTCTGCCCTGGTCTGGTGCCGTTCCCTTAGGAAGGAATGCTGCCAAAGGTTCTCTCTCTCTCTCTCTCTCTCTCTCTCTCTCTCTCTCTCTCTCTCTCTCTCTCTCTCTCCAGTTTAGCAAAGGTTCATCTGTAGGAAAGACTGAGTGCACGTGGGAGGTGTCCTAGATCTCCATTAAGGTCACAGTCCAGCAATTCCAATTGGGAACAAGCTTGAAACACTCAGAAAATATTTTTCTTCTGGGTAGATTATGGAGGGAGAGAGAAAGGGTGGAGTTAGAGTGGCATCTCCTGGGCTGCGAATCCCCAAGAGGTGAATCTGGGGGGAGGGGGCTCCGAGTTGCCCAGAGCTCAGGCGTAGGCTCTCCTCTGGCTGTGGCCAGGATGGGCAGCGCTGGCCAGAGGCTCCCCACGAGCTGGTAGGAGACTCTTAGGGCTTGAAAGCCACTGAGGCATTTGGAGGGGCTCCCCCAGAGCACCCCTCGGCCTCCCTCCCGGCAGCCCCTGCAAGCCAGGGACTCAGGGGGCCAACATGTGCTTGTTTAGTTATCAGGTCTGGGATGGTTTTTACACGCTTTCACTGTGTTGTTGCTGTAGTTTTTGGCAGTGTGATAGTAACGGGAAGTGAAGCCACACAAAAGTGCTTTTGTGAGATTTCAACTGCTGCCCCCCTCTTCCCCCCAGTTCAGATAGTTCCTAGTTTAGAGCAGAGTAGCCCCCTTCACCCTTTCTCCAGAGGGAATTCTGCCACCTGGAAGCTGTGGCCCCTTTAGAAGGGAAGTCCTGGGTGTCGAGGAGTGGAGGCAGAAACCTTTCTCTTCATCCTTAGATCGGTCCCAGAGTCTTGCTGATGGTGGGGCCATCAGCTTTCCTGACTTCATCTCTGCCCTTGGCCTTGTGGGTCAAGGGAAACAATTTGGAATATCCCCTTCCTGCCCCCACTCCCCTCACTGGGGTTTCCAAGCCCCGAAGCCCTCCTCGGGACCCTTCTTTCAGCCTCTGCTTACACTTCTTCCGGGTTCCCCCAGGAACTCATTCTGCCCTTCTTCCTTGGAGAATTTGGGTCCAAGGTAAGGTATACATTCAAATTCTCAGCACTCATGCCCTGCAGAGTGGCACTAAAGATTTACGCGTGGCTTACTTATTTATGGGCTCCACCAGAGACCACTTTAGCCTTGTAATATTCCCCCGAAGGAGAAGCAAACACCTCTATCCTGTGGATTGATGTGCCTGATGAGTGAGTAGCTCTAAATAATCAGAAAATGCAAACTTCTCTGCAGGTTAAAACAAAACAAAAAATCCAAACTGAACCCTCATATGGCTGCTAGGGTGTGTGTCCATCCCACTTCAGTGCCTGGACAACGGGGTGCCGGTCCACTGAAGCAGAGACCAGAAAAGTCTCCCCTTCCTAAACTGTGGCTTTATAGCTTGGCTTCCTGTCACGAGGAGGCATTGAACAGTGGCCCCAGAAATGGCAGCGATCAAGGTGTTTAGAAAGGGTTTAGGTAATGGAAAGCCATCTTATTTTGAAGAAACTAGGGTGTTTGCTGTCTTTGAACAAAAGCAAGCATTTTGATATTAGAATAAACAGTGTGTGTGTGTGTGTGTGTGTGTGTGTGTGTGTGTATTTGTGGTGTTATGTGGCGGGGGGCGGGGCACAGGGAGAATGTCTTGATTCAGCCTAAGGGTCTGGTCTCAGGGGAAAAGAAATTTAGTTAGCTTTCTCTGATGGCCTCCCTTGGAAGCAGAGATGTTGGGGGGTCATGCAGAAAGTGGGTTCCCGCACATCTGGAGGCTGGCTGCAGCTCAGTGCTCCCTCCCCAGAGGGTTCCGGGCACAGGTGCCCTCAGCCTTGTTAATAGCAGGCCTTCTTCTTGCCCATTTCCTCTGGAACTGCAGGTCACCACTATGAGCCCCTCTGGATTCCTGCTGGCCTCTCAGTGCTGCTCTGAGGAGCAAAGGCCTCGTCCTACTGGCAGCCAGAGCACGGAGGCCCCCTGGTCAGCGGCAGTGTGCAGGGCCACTTGGTTGAACCCCCCCACGTCCTCTCCTGCGTCGTATTCCTCCTGCAGTGAGTCTGGGCAGCCAGTTCACTGGGAGAATTCTCGCTCTACTTAGGATCCTTCGAGGCATCTTCCTGCTAGGAGCGCTGGGCAGGCCAGCTGCGGCCAAGGTTTGGGTCTGAATCTGCCAAGTACCAGGACACGGTGGCCTCTGCAGCCCGAAGCCAGACCGTGGACTAAGAGACACCCCTCCAGGGGCGGACACCCTGACTCTAGCTCAGCAGAGGCTGATGGGCTCTGCTCTCTTCTCTCGGGGACACAGGCTGAGTTGTTGGGTCCCCTTCACCTGTTGTCCCCAACCTTCACGCTCAGGGGGTGTGGAGAAGCGCCTTGATAGCCTGGGGGAACAGGATGTACTCCATGCGGGGACAGACGGTGGGGGTGTCGCTCAGACCCTCTGAGCCCTCCATTCTGCTTTAAGTTCATTCACACGCACCGCAGACACGTCTGGGAGGCTGCCCGCGCATTTTCTCCTTGAAGTCTGGAGGAAAGCAGATTTCTTTTGGAGAACAGCTTAGGCACAGAAGAAAGTCACATTTCTCTGGCTTGAATGTGGTCTCCAGAAAACCCTGGGAAGCCTGCCCTTCTCCGAGTCTCGGGAGGATGAGAATCCCGGATGCCTGGAGGGCAGGGATGCTGCGTGTGCATGTGCCTGTGTGTGCAGGCCTGTGTGTGTGCCTGTGTGTGCATGTGTATATGCCTATATGTGTGCATGTGCGTGCGTATGCATGTGTGTGTGCCTTTGTGTATGTGCCTATATGTATGTATGCATGTGTGTGCTTGTGTGTAGCATGTGTTCATGTGTGCATATGCGTATGTGCCTGTATATGTGCCTGTATGTATGCCTGTGTGTGCATGTGTGTGTGTACATGAGTGTGTGCATGTGCCTGTGTGTCTGTGCCTGAGTGTACGCATGTGTGTGCCTATATGTACGCATGCATGTGCCTGTGTATACAGTATGTGGGCATATGTGTGCCTTGCATGCGCCTGTGTGTATGCCTGTGTGAGCATCTGTGTGTGCGTGTGTGCATGCATGTGTGCATGTGCCTATGTGTATGTGCTTGAGTGTACGCATGTGTGTGCCTATATGTATGCATGCGTGTCTGTGCGTAGCATGTGTACATGTGTGCATATGTGTGTGTGCCTGTGTATGCGCCTGTGTACGTGTGCCTGTGTGTATGCATATGTGTTTCTGTGTGTATGCATGTGTGTGTGTATGTGTGTGTGCTGGTCTGTGCTTGTGTGTGTGCCCACCCACTGTAACAGCAGAAGTTGGTTGTGAATGGGGAAGCCACGGGTCCCTCTGACGGGGGTCCAAGTGTACAGATTACCTCCCCCCAATAGCCGCCTGCCAGCAGGGAGCCCCCACAGGGCCCTTCCTGCCCCCTCTTCCCTGCACACTGGGGTGCTCTTCAGGCCCATGGTTCCCACTTTGTCCCCAGAGCACAGTGATCTAGGTGCGTGGAACAGCACAAAGGGGTCTTGGGTTGGGGAAGATCCCTCAGGACCCATCTTGGAGCTATGGCTCTTGCTGGCGGGAGCCAGTTCTCCCAAGGCGGGCCTCTGTGGGAGCTGCATGAGAGGTGCCCAGATTCGGATGCCACTGAAGCCAAGCCCAGAAAGCTCTGGCTCAGGGGCTCCACCAGCCCTGCCGGGGTGGGTGGTGGGCTCGGCTGGGTGAGCGGAGCAGAGAGCAGAGACCATCTTGTCGGCAACTTAGGCGTGGAGCTGAGGTGGTCCCTGGATGAGGAAGCAGGCTGGTTTAGGGGAAGCCCTACCCCGTGGGTCCCTGGCCCTCCCAGTCGCTCCACCACCATGCCCAGCGCTGGCCCAGTGCGTCAGGGGGCTTCTCGCTCTTCTTTCTCTGTGGTCTGGAGGATGGTAGCAAGGTGAACGCGAAGAAGCACTTGAAAGGAAGAATCTCAGAGGTGTTGTTTTAAATTTTTCAGTGGGTTCTGCTTGTTGAGCCCAGAGTCCTTCTGGTGTAGCAAGCCTTGTCCCGCCTTGGTGCTGCCCTGGGCTGGACCCTGGCCCCAGTCAGCTAGACTCCAGTGGGTGGACAAGGGGTGGGGTTAGGAAATCCGAGCTCCCTCGGCAGACCTTTGAAGGGCTTGCGGTCTGCCGAGGGAGCTCGGATCACCTGGGGAAGTGCAGTACCCTTGATGTTCACGCACCGGCTTCCCAGGAACTGGGATGGATCCCTGTCCAAACTGGCTCGTGCCTAGCAGGCCTGGGGACTTTGGGGTGGACTTTGGATGGGTGTTTTGGAGCAGCACGGCCAGTGGGTGGCGGTTACCACCTCCTGCCTGCTTAACCTGTCTCCCAGCCCTGTCTGCAACTGTGCAGTGTGCTGGGCAGAGCTAGGCCTGGCGTTTCCACCTTCCCAGCTCCCAACGATGCGATGTGGGTGCAGAGAGAAGGTATACTGCCTCAGGCACCGGTGCCAGTCAAGCTCTGCCTGCTGCCGGGAGAAACAGTCTCCG